TGAAAATAAGAATTGGAAAATGAATACATATGTACCTACATATATGATCATAAATATTTAAATTTTACCGCCGAGGGACTGTATCAATTTTAAAAGATCTGACCTTTTAGCAGAGATAATATCCTGATGTAAATGCCCCACACCTTCAACGCATTCATAGCGATTGACATTATCGGCAATGTTGTCTGTCATACAGATCACATGGATGCCACAGTCGTAACCATTAGCCTGTTGCAAACACCTAATAGGCTTAATTTGGCAAATGCGACAATTTAAGGCTTCTTTTATGCGCTGTACAAACTGATGTGAAGCGTTCGAATTGTTGTTACCCCAAGAATCAAAGTGGAAGAAGGACTTTTCTGGCCTCGAGAATACCAACAACGACCAGTGTGTTCCGCCCGCTTGGGTTGAATCATTATCATTTAATACAAAGAATATGAAGGGTTTCTTCGGTGCCTCTAACTGATTTAGCAACGTCTCCAACTCACCATCATCGGCAAATTTCATACATTGGGTTACTTCTGGCGGCACAAATAATAAATCTGGATTATTTTTATATTTCACACGTTCAAGATATTCATAATAAAATGAAATGATTTGATCGTTTAACCAATGAGGACCTTGCAGTAGTTGTATATCCGACATCCGTAGACACGTTTCATTAAAGCTTAAAGCAATAGGATCGGCGTGGGTATAGGAACTCATCGTAGTTACCTTTTTATTTACACTTATGTTGACGTTCTTGAAATTAAAAGGTTGGGTGAAATCGTTAACTTAAATAGAACCACCTGGAATGATTGAAATATTCTTTCTTATTCAGATACTAAATTATTCCATTTGTTTACCTTTTTAATTTTCTTTTTATATTTATGCTTGTGTACGTCTAGTTATTTTTGAACGAAAACTATTGATAATAATGCGCAAAACATGCAATTTTACATTACTTCCCCTTTCTCTTGAAAATGGCCATATTCAATTTTGCAAACACCAATGAAATTGAAAGTTATGCCAATCTACATTTGTAAGGTGGTAACATTAGTAATGATTTATATGTGGTATATATTTTTTATATATGCAGTTTGATAACATTAATTCCAGAAATATGTGTTTTTATACATGCAGTTTGACAAACATCAGCACAGAAAAGGTATTCACTGGATTAGTGATAAATTGTTCGACAAATGGAATAAATCGTTTTACAAATCCACGACAAATAGTTGCCAGACTTTATATGAACTAATGTTTGTTCATTGAATGGCTACCCTACAAGAATTGAATGACAGAAGCTAAAGCGCCTTTTATATTATACCACAAGTAATATGATTTGTCAAAAATTTGTGTAGAAGAGAACGTATGCGATAGTCCAAACTAGGGTTCTATAAATCGACTTTCGAATAATCGAACAATCGACTTTTTGTCGAAAAGAGTCGAAAAGTCGAAGTCGACTATTTTGTTCCAAAAAAGTCGATAACTCGACTATCGTCTATGAAAAAAGTCGAAAAGTCGACTTTGTAAATAAAAGTCGAAAAAAGTCGAAAAGTCGGAAAGTCGAAAAAAGTCGAAAAGTCGAAAAAAGTCGATAAGTCGAAAAAAGTCGAAGAAAGTCGAAAAAAGTCGAAAAGTCGAAAAAAGTCGAAAAGTCGGAAAAAGTCGAAAAGTCGGAAAAAGTCGAAAAGTCGGAAAAAGTCGAAAAGTCGAAAATTTTAAAAAAGTGGAAAAGAGGTCAAAAACTCTAAGTAAAAGTAAAAAAATAGTCGAAAAAAGTCGAAATAAGTCGAAAATAGTCAAAAAGTCGTAAAAAATCGTAAAGTCGAAAAGTCGGAAAAAGTCGAAAAGTCGAAAAAAGTCGGAAAAAGTCGAAAAAGTCGAAAAAAGTCGAAAAAAGTCGAAAAGTCGAAAAAAGTCGAAAAGTCGAAAAAAGTCGGAAAAAGTCGAAAAGTCGAAAAAAGTCGGAAAAAGTCGAAAAGTCGAAAAAAGTCGGAAAAAGTCGAAAAGTCGGAAAAAGTCGAAAGGTCGAAAAGTCGACCATTTATAAAATACTAAAAGTCGAAAAGTCTAAAAGTCGACTTTTAAATAAATGAAAAAGATCGAAAAGTCGAAAAATCGACTTTTCATAAAATGGAAAAAGTCGAAAGGTCGAAAAGTCGACTTTTAACTAAATGCAAAAAGTCTAAAAGTCGAAAAGTCGACTTTTCGTTTCAACTATAGAACCCTAGTCCAAACGCGATATTTAATGAAGCCCTCACACTAGGGTTCTATAGTTAAAACGAAAAGTCGACTTTTCTACTTTTTTCATTTAGTTAAAAGTCGACTTCTCGACTTTTTGCATATTATAAAAAGTAGATTTTTCCACTTTTCGACTTTTTCATTTAATTAAAAGTCGACTTTTAGACTATAAGTATTTTATAAATAGTCGACTTTTCGACTTCTCGAATTTTTTCGACTTTTCGATTTTTTCGACTATTTTTTTACTTTTTTCGAGTTTTTCCTATTTTAGAGTTTTTGACTTTTTTATCCACTTTTTTTTAAGATTTTCGACTATTTTTGACTTGTTTCTACAATTTTCGAGTTTTCGACTTTTTCCGACTTTTTTTGACTTTTCGACTTTTTTCTACTTTATTCAACTTATCGACTTTTTTCGACTTATCGATTTTTTTCGACTTTTATTAACAAAGTCGACTTTTCGACTTTTTTCACAGACCATAGTCGAGTTATCGACTTTTTTGGAACAAAATAGTCGACTTCGACAAAAAGTCGATTGTTCGATTATTCGAAAGTCGATTTATAGAACCCTAATTTGCGTGTTCTGCTAAATGAATGAGGCTGTCAGAGACTATCCCTAATATTGTAATTTGTTCTTCTACGGAGATTTTAAGCTCCATCCTTACTTTTTTGGTCCGTGGATTTTGAAGCAGATAACCTAAGTTTGTGCTACTGAAAAAAATCTGTGATGATGGCCTAGTATTAGGTGATTTTGGCACAAGAGGCATTACAGGAAGCTTGGTAAGATATAAGAGTAAAAGTGGTAGTACTCCTCCTTGGGTACGCCCATTTTTATTTTTCGATATTTTTATTTTTGACCTCTAAACGCATGTCTGCCACAGATATAGTTGGTTATCCACCGTTTTTGATGGTTTGGGGAGTGTTGGGTTTCCCACGACAATTGTATCATCGCTCTGGAACGACCCGAGTCATACTCAGCCAGAGATTGTCATTGATAGCTGTATCATCCGATAGCTAAATCTGTAGTTTATTTTAGTTTAAATCAAGAATTCGAAACAGTGATCCAGGAATGCTGTACGTTTCATCTACAAATGTTTTTACATACTTTTACATAAACACATTGTATTTTTTAATTTTTAACATTCCAACATATTTTTAAACAATTTTGAAAGTTTTTAATTGTGTCCCGGAACAGGATTCCTTTTAAAGATTTTATTTGTTTTCCGGAACAGGATTCCTTTTACCAGTTTGGTACAAGTTCAAACGATTTCCGTAATGGGCTTCTCTTTATCCTTTTGATATAAAATAAGACGCACCCAAACCCAATATATTTTTAAAAGCACATTTAATGTACATATGTATGTACATTAGACCGACTCACAAAAAATGGTGCTTGAGTTACCCCCGCCTCAAAATATTCGCTGTTATGTAATATATGATGTTACCCAAAATATTTTGGGTTTACTGTTGTCCGTTCGTGAGCTGGACTGTTTTCAAGAAAATTTCCTATGAAGGACACAATTTTTCATGTTCAACCCAAAAGTTTACCCAGTTTCAAAAAATCTTTGGTTTGTTTTATGATGGTTCCCAAAATATTTTTAGTCTATCGATGGTCGTTCGTGAGCTGGACCGGTTACAAAAAAGTCCCTTTTTAGTTATTTTTATAAATTTTATTTATTTGTTATTTTACAATTATAACTGAGCCCAAAGGGCCATATATAGTTAACAAATTTACTACATATAATGAAAAACGACTTAACAAAGAGTAAATAAACTTTAGATAGGAAGAATACGGAATGAGAAAGAAAAGGAAATTTTACAGTTTTTTCTTAAACAAAATATGCAATATGTGGTCCAGCTCACGAACGGCCATCGCTAGACTTAAAATATTTTGAGAATCATCATAAAACAAAGCAAGGTAAATTTTTAGAGGGGTAACAAAAACACGTTTTTCTTTTCCATACAGAGTGAGTCGGTCTAATGTACATACATATGTATGTATGTATGTACGTACAAGAGTCTCTATTCTAGACTTAAACGTATTTATGAGGCAGGTGTGATCCCTGAGGTCGTTTTTTATATTTTTGGATGGTAAATTTATTTATTAAAAATAAACAAAAACAGAAACTAAAATTATTAAATAATAAAAAAGCTTTAATACTTATCAGGCCGCGCTATATATTCTTCGTCTGTATCAGAGTCTACGTGACTAGTAAAATATAGGAACATTTTATAGAATTAAACAAGGATTTGCAATTTTTAAAAACTTTATTTTTCTAATTTATATGTTCGTCTGAATAATCATGTTTATTTAATTTGCATTCTTTTTCTACATTTTACTCAGCAATACATCCATTTGATTTGAAAATGTTTTAAGCGACCGAAAATTATTTTTGTATTTCAATTGCCTGGACAATTATAAAATTGACATTTTCTAATATTTAACAGATCTAATGTACGGATGCAAATCTGTAAGTTATAAGAGTGTATATTTAATATTTTTGCCCCCCTTATTTTATGAGTTAAAAAGTATTTTTCCATATACATATGTATGTATGTTCATATATACATATGTACGTACATATATACATAAGTACGAAATCTAGATTAAACATGTGTATATTTAAAGAATAATTTATTTATATTGAAAGTTATTTTACTTGAAAATATACTTTATGAGTTGTGACAGCTTTGCATTAAGTGAGCGATATGTACATTTTCTTGATCTCTCAAATTAGAACATTTAAAACTCATCTTAAGCAGCAGTATAAAAGGCTTTATATACCAAACAAAGCTTTCACAATATTTTTTGAAGTCATACAATTATTTCAATAATAAATATAGTCGAGCGGATAGTTCATAATTCTTAAAGAAAAACATATAAATTTTATATTTATAAAACACTTTGAATGGTGTCCTTGCAACGTGACAAATTAATTACTAAAAATAAATCTTCACAGCACTTGCAGCCTATATTATTGCTGTTAAAAGACATTTTAAAAAGTGATCACTATTTGTGCGATATTTCCGAAAACGATATATTAGATATTTTTGAAAATTGTCAAGGTAAAAAAGTTGTTGGTAGTAAATAGTTAAAATATTTGTAGAGTTACATAGTATACAGTATGTAATATACATATGTATATGTAACAGTATGTAATTATATATACATATATAAAAGTATATACAACATTCATATACAGTTCAAATAATATTTAGATTATCATTCGTCAATTTGAATTTTCTTATCAGTTTTAAGGTCGCACATACTGAACTCTGGTTTTATTTTATTAAAAATAAATGTTAAAATCTATTTAGATTTTTTGCAAACAAATTAAAGTTCTTTTTAAGTTATTTATTCTCTTTTATTTTATAACGTTTGTTATATTTCTTTGTTTGTAAAAAAACAGTTTGTAGAAAAATGGCAGCATTACCTCAAGGCGCATTTGTGGCATGCAAATTACGTGAACAATATCGTGATAGAGATTTAATAATTTCTAGATTGAAATCAAGCGGCGAAAAAACTGAACCGAAAATTTTCAGCGGCAACAAAAAATGTATGTATTATTTTTAAAATTATTTTAATGAAAACTTGTAACGCTACGCTCAGAGCTTTTATTTATATAAGTATAAATAAAAGCGCTGAACGTAGCGTTACATGTAAAATGTTTTTGTTTTCATAAAAAGTATATGGGGCTCAATGTTCAACGCCTTTATTTAGATACATATATTAAATACTCTAGATATAACTTTATAAATTGTTTCGCCTTTTAGTAATGGAATACAGTCCAGTAAAGTACAACGAGAAATTAATGAATTCAATTTGGGGATTCTATAATCGTTATTCACCACATAATATAAAAAGTAATGAAATCGTTTCCTTCGATCTGGCTTATAATCAGCAACAGCAGTAAGTATATAAATACATATATGTACATACATAATATAAATATTTGAGTTCGGTGTAATCAAAATGTTTTTCTTTTTGTTTAGATCTGCTGTTGCTAATCAAGCCATTGCTCATAATATAGCAATGGCTGTCACAACCGGTAAGGAATGGACTTTTATGGACAAAAAGTAAAACTTTTATTGGTCTCAGAAACATTAAACAATTGTTCGTCTTAATATAAATACATAGATACATACTATGTTAAAAATTTAATATTTCTTTATACAAATGTATTTGCAAATATGTATATTGATGGTGCAAATAAATTTTATTTACTACAATGTAACAACTTATTAAATTAATATAAATTGTTTTAAATTTTGAAAAAATAAAAATAAACAATTTCAATTCCCATAATTAGTTTAAATAGCATGATTCGTACGTAGGAACCATGTACTTGATGTTAATAAAAGCATCTTCACCTCCATGTATTTCTAAAATTTGGAGAGTTTCATCAATTAAATCTCCTAGATTCATATTTTTCTTTTGAGTATAATCAATTTCATCTCCACAATTAACTGTAATAATTTACATAATAAAAATTTATAAAATAAGTACAGTTTAAGACTTACGATTCTTGACTTTATAAGCATTAAACATTGGTAATAATTGTCGATAAAATGGTACTAATGCAGGCCCAACCAGATCAGATGACAGTACTAACTGCTGTATAATTTTTAGTGTTGTACACATCACTTCTAAATTTTTAGTACTTAGGGCATCTGCACGAAATAAGCATATAAGCGTGGGTTAGAATTAACCAAACAATTTTTCTTACTTTTTAATGGCAATATTAATTGGGGTATGACAGCATGTACTTTTTCGCCTCCGGCTAATAAGAGATCTGAAACACCTTGTCTGGCATAGGTTTTGTAAGGATGTTCGGTTTCGCAAAGACCGTCAAAGAACAAAGGAAGATATAAACTGTAATCCAATTTCTCTATATCCACCTAAAAATACATACAGTCAACTAAAACGCAAATGGCCCTTTCTAACAATTTAACAATTTTACAGGAGGAGCATAAAACTATTTAAATTGAAAAGTTTGATTCACATTTTTTATAAATGAAACCTATTAATTGTTACGTTACATATGTAGTTGACAATGGTGTATATAAAAATGAATAAATTGGACTTTTAACCATTAATATTAAAATGTTTTTGAAGATATGTAGGTCCTTTTGATTTTTGTCAAAAAGTCACTAATTCGGAAAAGTCCAATTTGTGGACATTTGTTTTGATGCAATATAGGTATTAGAATCAATAATAAAATCGACTTTGAATTTTTGGTTAGTTAGGGCTGTTTGTGTTTCATACATACATACATGTATGTATGTATGTATGTATGTATGTATGTATGTATGTATGTATGTATGTATGTATGTATGTATGTATGTATGTATGTATTTATGTTTGGATGCATCTGCATAATGTTTAAGTTAAAATTTTAAGGTATATTATTGGGATGACCCAAAATTACTTACGGTCCAACCAATTTTGTCACCACCACACAAATATTCCATCTTTATTGGCAGGTCCCCACGATCGAAATACATGCGAAAGGAGTTACTACGGTGAAAACTCTTACTGCGATGAGAGCTGGAACCGTCATTATGAACCGATAACTTAATAGCTTAAAGAAACAGTAATTTTTGGGGTTTAAACGAATTAAAGATAAAATTATAAAAAGAATCAAAAATATAATTGTTGTATGCCCACGCTATATAGACAATTATTTTCAATAAATAATGTTATTTGAAATTAAAAACATATTCGTAAGGTTCCTTTTATATTCCTTTAGTTGCAAATTGGTGATGAAATACTTTGTGGGACAATATTAAAAACAGCACTTTAATGTACATACATTCTTACTTTTTAATTTTCCTCGTTCATTTGTTGTTCCGGAAGATTCATATAACGGTCCGTTAATTACTACTGTATGTTTTTGTTGGGATTGTATCGAAAATGGTGGAACTTGTCGTTGCTTAACCACTGAAATTGGTGCTGAATACAATGGCATCAAAGATGATGGCGGATTAGCTGATTTCGAACGGTAAACTCTATCTTCGAAAGACGTCTTAGAAGATATGAAATTGTGATTATGAGATAACTTGTATGTTGAACGTGTAGTGTATGCCATTTTAATTTAAATTTACTTTTTCAGGTTCTATTTTTAATACAAAACGTCGGAATAATTACCGTATAAAATTTAAATTCTTTCGTTTTTCTTCTTGTAATCCTGTGATATAAAAAATAAGAATTTTAGTTGCAAGGTTACAATTTCAGTTACAAGTTTTAATTGACCAACCAAAATTTAGTGTAAATTTTCTTACTATATAATTATTAGGTTAATATATGTACGTATATATTTTTTAGAATGTCGAATCAAATAACAACATTACCCAAGTGTAAATGATTAATTTAATACTAGGATAAGAAATTTTAGATAAAAAACAACCAAACAATTCGTTGCTATGATATCAGTGCCGTATGAATGCTAAAGTATAAGAGGATCAAATCTCTTAAGATGTATCAAAGTTTGTTTATTTGTTAAGCGACATGGCCACACATCAAATTTGTTGACTCAAACGGTAAGTTTTTTAATTGTGTTAGTGAAAAAAAACACAAATGTATCGCATATATGCGGTGTGAGTTTTTTTTACTAACACAAACGAAAATCTTACCGTTTGAGTCAACCAATTTGATGTGTCGCCAAGGCGCTTTTGTAATATGCATATACAATCATAGAAGCAGAAGAAGCGTAAACAACAAATACACATATTTTGATAAAAAAATTTGATGTTGACCATACAACTTTATAGGATAAATATATAAATATACATACATAAATATCTCATTCAGGTACATAAAAATTTGCCATAACTCAAAAAATAAAGTTACGAGGAATATTCAAATATTTAGACAAAATCAATATCAAAATTCATAAAATTTTCTGTGTGAACACACTGTTTTAACCTGATAATATATGATAGGTATAGGCCGCTTACATTCTAAAATCAATTATCGCCGATATACATTTTTGTTGACACAGGTCTCTGTAGTTCAAGCTAATAGAAAGAATACAGTCGAATTTGCCATCTTAAATTGTAAAAAAATACTTATTTTATTTATATTATGTCAAACGGTAGTCAGTTTTTAATTAAATTTAATGAAAAAATAATGAATATAATGATTGTGAGAGGATAAATTGCAAAGTTTTAGTATCTGCATATACATTGTATGTATATTTTTTTCGTTAGTTATTCACAGTTGGTTCATCACACATATACATAAACATCTATTGTGAATTATTCTTTTTCTCGTCACGTACACCAGTGTCATATTGTGTATACAGTAGACAAAAACATTTTGTAATCAAGCTGAACAAAGTTTTTTACTTAAATGTTTAGCAAATTGTAAAATTTTAATTTTGTCCATCGATAGCCTTAAAAAAGTAAAAATTTGAAATGTGAAAAACTTATATATTACGCTAAAACTCCATGTTTGTGACAACCCAGGTTCAGTGCTATTTAAATTAAAAACAAGTTCTTCAATTGAATGAAAATTAAATAATTGTTTGTATACATATTTAATGAATTCAACTATCTGTGTTTAATAAAAATGTTAAAATGTATTTTGGGAACTTTAATGAACAAAATATAGAACTTCATGGTAAAAGGACGATACAATTTTATACAAATTAATACATATTTGTATGTATGTCGGTAAGTAGTAAATCAATAAACATAAGTAAATTTTCTGCAATTTTTCTACGATTTCATTAGCAAAAATAGTGAAAAATCGATTTTGCAATTTTTCAAAGTAACA